TCCATAATATATGGATAATCTGTCCCATTGACTAAAATTTTTCAAGATGGTAATTGCACCACCAACCAGAAAACATTGGTTCCCTGAGTTCCAACATCACCGAAGCCAATCCATTGAAGTGATCGCCAATTCCTGCCCGTTTTTTTTCCATGGGAACAGGCTTTCATTTGCTCAGGATTACACATTTCCTGCCCAGCTATTTATCTCAGTATATTCCCATTCTACGTTCCCATTAATCGATCGTTATACCCTGTTTATGATCTGTAAACAGCAGCTGATTATTTGTTTTTCAGCTAAGCCTCATCATATTCCCATGCACTGTTTGTTATTGTATTGTTTTTGCTGGTTAAACCACATTGTTTTCCTGGTTAAACCGAATATGTGTCTTGTTAAACCTCATATTTTGCTGGTTGAAACCAAACGTTTGCTGGTTATACCATGTTGTAACCCATAACAGTCCTATATGAGACTATCACTCCTGCAGCTAAGGTTATATAAGCCTGTTATAACAGTTAAGGACCCTTGAGGGCTATACATGTACCATGGTTTATCCCTTTTTTTCCATGGCGGTGAAGCTCTCTGAATCTCGTTTTCAGGCGTGTCACCACTTTGGTTTGGAGTCGAGGTCTGTTCAGGAGCGAGATGGCACTGGCTTCACCAAGAAACAGGGATTTTAAAAACAAAGAAACCCTGGATGGGAGCAACAAACATTCCCATATGCGAAGCATGGTGCTGGTATATTTACCTACATGACTGGGTGATGAATTCTTGGGCAAATGTTGGGATTCATATTCCAGCACCATGGTTCGCAGATGGGATTGGCCATTTAATATGGGATTTAAGATGATTTTTCAGCAGTTTCAGTTGATCATGTTCTATTTGGTGCTTGGAAGTGGTTCGGAGCTACTATTGGTATCCATTGTCCCTATTGGCCATCCCAAGCACACCATGGTTTGACCAAGAAAAAGTGGGGCTTGGCCAGCACAAATGATATATAACACATTTGTGGATTTTAACAACACAAAGTGAGATTTTGCCATGAAAATCATGAAATTGTGGGATTTAGGCCACAGAGATGGCAACAGAGGTTTGAATTTCACCAGCTGGAGTGCGAAACAAGCCAACAAACATGTGGAGTTATCCAGAAACATGTGGATGATACAACAACGTAAAACAACCTGAGGTATATGAGTTTGTCCGAAAAGGGGGGGTGTACGTTCAAGATTGCCGCTAAAAATAACGATGGCACATGGTATTTCTCAACCAGGGGCCCCGCTTGCCCAGTGGTCCCTGACAACTGATGGGTTCATAACTCCTGCAATGATTTGGGGGGTGTCCATAAATGGGGATACCCAATAGATGGATGGTTTATAAAGGAGAATCCAGCTATAAATGGATGATCACTAGGGGTAGCTCTAATTTAGGAAACCCCTATGTATTTACAAGTTATAATTTGTTAAGGTCCGGGGAAGTGGCAAATTGCCTTGTTGTTAACATCCCCCAGCTGGGATTATCCGATATGTGCGGGTTATTTTCGTGGTTAATAGCCAGTTGCCAAGTGGGATGTACTTCCACAGAACTGTTAGGTCACTTTAGGCTTCATGACATTTGGTATAGCATATTGGCGATAAGAAATCATGCTTTAAAGGATGCATTTATTGGTCAATAGGACTGGAAAGCATTGGCAATTTTGCCAATGTTTCTGGTTGATGCTTTGAAAGTTGATTACCCTCTGGTGATGACTAACATAGCTATTGAAAATGGCCCAGTCGAAATAGTGAGTTTTCCCATTAATAGCATGGTGGATCTTTCCATAGTTTTTTGTAAACGTTTACCAGGCCGGGTATGTTCATCCTTCGTTCATCGTCCCAATGACTTGGATGGATTGACATTCAGCAAACCGACCGCGTCTCAGCGGTTGGTTAACATGGCAAAGCCGATTTTCAGGAGCTGATTGGGGACAATGAAAAAGTTCACTATGTTCATTCTATTTTCAAGATTGTCCAGAACTCTCAATGAACAAAAGTTTGAGCGGCCAATCTCTTTTGGAATGAAACTCCCAGAGGAAGTATGTTGTTTGGTCGATTCATCGCATTGGGCGTGTTTAGATTTTCCATAGCTTTCCCTCCGAACCATGTGTATCGCTATTGGTATGTGGCCAATAACCACGGCTCTCACACAGCCTGAAATGTGATAAACCAGTAACCAATTTATATATATATATATCATTATATATTCTAAATAATTACACATGTAACACTATGTGAGATACACGGGTGTTTGTCAACCTGTCATATCCACTCTGGATGGTGTTTAAGTTCCTCTTTTTTCAGGCTTTGCGATCTGTTCATCCACAGTATGGTCTGGAAGCGAGGTAGCAAGGTATGGGTGCACATGCCCTATACACAGTTCTATAAGGCTATATTGCGACGCATGTCTCTGTATAACTCGGAACATGTATATATGTATACATATACGATACACAAGTGTAAACATCAAGTCTTGCAGACATGCCTCCTTGTAATACGATGGCGATCACGTCACGTGCTTTTCAGATTGGAATTTTGTTTCGGTTGCAGGACCGATTGAAGAAAGGTTTGCTTCCCAAGACGGTTCAAGATCTTTTTGGACACAAGGCGGGTTCGAAAATGATGAAAATCATGGGACTAGCGGTGGATTTCCCATCAATTCAAGGTATCATGGTGGAGGCTCGCCTCCAAACGTTTACACCGATGTGGAAAACTCACCAAGTGTAGATTTTATTTTGTGTTCTTTTAGAAAAAAAACACATCTATGTTTGTTTACCTTGGTATCACGGTGTATTAATAGAGCCATAACTTGTGTTTTTGCAAGAGATGTAGGTCAGCATTATGATCGGTGGGTCTGTCCAAAAATGATGCTCCCGTAATCAAACATGGCAATGATTCAATGGAGGACCTCCCCGCTGCAGATGATATATTCACATTTAATACACCAATATAAATATTCATATACACGTCAAATATACATATATATATATACTATTGTCACAATAAATATATATATATATGCATAATATCATAATAGATTTAACATAAATGCCTATTTACGCTAGTCCACCGAGTTTGATTTTTCGCAGACTTGTTATGAACACAAAATGAGGCTTCGCAGTCTTCAGCTGTCCAGCCCCAATGTGGAATCGTCAAGTCACAGGCTTGTTTAAGCGGTGCAGCCAGCGACCCCATAGGAAAATGCCAATTTTATATGTCCCACAGTTATGGCCATTTATCAATTATAACTGGTTATAAGTGGGATTACACATTCTATAAATGGGGTTATAAGTACTTATAACTGGTAAAGGGCCATAACTGCGCTTGATTGTGATAGCGTTCGCTTAGCATCCCACACATGTACAAGGAGGCACATTGGAGGGCGTTGAGGGGGGGTTGGGGGGGGTGTAATAACGTTCTTCTCGCGTGCGTTTTTTTTTTGGGGGGGGATTCATACTTTCCTTTGTGTTTGGAACTACTCTTGATGCTACGCTTCTAAAAAGCGAAGGCAATCCGCGGCTCAAGACCGGGCCAAGATGGCCAACAAATGCCGCTGAAGATGAGAAAAAAGAAAATTTGGCGTGGAAGCGACCTCGAATCACATTATTTGAACAAAATAAACTTTGAATTTGAAATGCAGAATTCTAATGGTTTAAAAAAACAGCCTCGCCTTCCTGTCAATACCAATGAATCCCGCTGTTGGACATAAGTGGGTACTTGTGGAAATGATGCAAAACGCAGGATTTTTGAAAGATGACTGATGAAACCATGTTTCAAATTTCCCAGGGTTGCTATTGGCGCCGGTACCTTGTTTTTGAACCCATTCAACTGTAAACTGTAAACATCTCCATAAGCCCCAGGTATTGTAGTTAACCCACATAGGGAGTCCCAAAGGTGCATTTTTTTGCAAGTTTCTACGGCCACCGCAGGGTTTTTTGCTTGAGCCAGGTGACTTCTGCGAATTCGGAACAGCCCAAGAAAAGACGCAGGTTCTGAGCGAAAGTGACCGGTCGAAGGCTGGTGTAAATGTGATACGTGGTCGTCTCTGGCTATCAGGATGACATTTGACGAGAAAATACCAGAAACCATACGACTAGCATGATCTAAATCTGTGTTTTGAGGATTGTAAGATGATGTTCTGTAGTATTAGCAATGTGCCATAAAATGTCGTATACCCCAAATCTGGGTGTGTGAAATGATGATTTTGGATCACAAGACAAATACTCAGAACAATTCACAACCCCATTGGAGACTTCAATTCCCTGCATGTCTTGGAAACCCTGTGGTAATCAAACACGACAATGTGAAATCCCCTTTCAGAAGGCATTGAAATAGGCGAGTCATCTATATAATATAATATATATATATTATATATATAATATATATATATATATATTATATAATATATATATATAAATAAATGGTGGATTTTCCAGTTAGCTGTGTTTTTTCATTAACAAATAGGGTCTGTTTCTTCGTTTCTACGACCTTGTCACTGTCCCAGCTCGTCACCAGCAACGATTTTCGTTGGTCACAACGGCCAAATCGTCGCTTCGGGGCGCGTCACGTTGTCGGGGAGTGGGTGTCATCGAATGGGTTTACTTTAGCGGGAAAACTTATATAGAACAATAGAACCCCGGTTTCTACAACGATTTGTTTTTGTTGGTCCCCCATGTCAACATGTTCAACACACCCCAACTTGGTGCTTCAAAACACCAAACAGGTGGCAAGTGCTCGGCCCACTCGCCGCTGTGACTAGGTCTGATTAGGTGTGACTTCTTGTGTCGCCAATGCAGCGATGGTGGAAAAATTCACAGTGCGGGGATGGGCGGCCGCGTTTAACCAGGTGGTTCCCCATGAGAGCTGGCCGCTGTGGGAGTGCACTTTTTTCCATGCAGTCATTATATTAGTCATTATATTAGTCATTATATAAGTCATTAAATAAATCATTATATGAATCATTATATGAATCATTATATGAATCATTCTATGAATCATTATATTAATCATCAAATGAATCATAAAATGAATCATCATTATATCAGTCATTAAATAATTCATTATTTAATCATTTTAGTAATTAATCATTATATGAATAGATATTAATCATTAAATTAGCCAATAAATTAACAAGTATATCAGCCATTACAAAAATCATTATATTAATCATTATCTTAGTCATTATAAAAGTCATTAAATAAATCATGAAATGAATCACTATATTTATCATTATATGAATCATTATATTAATCTTATATTAGTCATTGCATTAGGCATTATATGAACCATTACATTAATCATTATATGAATCATGATAATAATCATGATATTAATCATTAAACTCTTCATTTTAATAATCATTAAATTAATCATTTTATTAATCATTATAATAATCATGATGTTGATCATTTTATTAATCATTATATTGATCATTATATTAGTCATTATATGACTTACTATTTTAATCATTATATTAATCAGTATATTAATCATTATATCAATCATTATACAAATCATTTTAACATTCATTATATTAGCCATTGTATTTATCATTATATTAGTCATTAAATTAATCATTATATTAATCATTATATTAATCATTTTATTAATCATTACATTACTCATTATATATAAACTCATTAAATCAGTCAGTATTTTACTCATGATATTATAATCATTGTATTCATCATAATAGTAATCATTATATTAATCATTCTTAAAATAAAATCATGATACTAGTCATTATAAAAGTCATTAAATGAATCATGAAAAGAATACTTATATTTATCATTAAATGAATCATTATATTAACCATTTCATTAATCATTATATGAATCATGATATTAATCATTATATTAGTCAATAAATTAACAAGTATATCAGCCATTACAAAAATCATTATATTAATCATTATCTTAGTCATTATAAAAGTCATTAAATAAATCATGAAATGAATCACTATATTTATCATTATATTAATCATTATATTAATCATTATATTAGTCATTGCATTAGGCATTATATGAACCATTACATTAATCATTATATGAAACATGATAATAATCATGATATTAATCATTAAATTCTTCATTTTAATAATCATTAAATTAATCATTATATAAATCATTATATTCATCATGATATTGATCATTTTATTTATCATTTGATTAATCATTATATTAATCATTATATTAATCATTATATTAGTCATTATATTCTTGAAAAAATAAGTCATTACATGAATCATTATATTAGTCATTATATAAGTCATTAATGAATTTTGGTTTTTCCATGGTTTTTTTTGCAGTTTGGCCTGGGGGGCGCAGGTGTGCAAATTGTAGAGACGCGCATTTTTTTGAGAGGTACTGTGATGAAAGCATCTTCACATGAAAAACATTCAAAACAACAATGGAAAAAACAAAAAAAAAGTTCAGACCCATGGGCAAGGTCTGGGAGAGGCCTGGCAGGGGACATGGGTCTGAACTTTTTGTTTTTTTGGTTTTTCCATGGTTTTTTGCAGTTTGGCCAAAAACCTCGAGAACACAAAAAAAAAGTTCAGACCCATGGGCAAGGTCTGGGCTATCCACACACAAACCAAAAAACCAAAAAACCAAAAAAACAAGAAACCAAAAAACCAAAAAAACCAAAAAAAACAAAAAAAACAAGATTGCACACCCCAAGGGGAGGGGGTCAGATGCAGAGTGTTGGGTCTTGTCTTTTTGTTTTTTTTGTTTTTTTTGTTTTTTTGGTTTTTTGTTTTTTGGTTTGTGTGTGGATAGCCATTGCAGATGTGCCAAGCAGAGATTGCCAGGCACTGTCAGTGGTTGCACTAGAGGTCGGGCAGGCAAAAACCAAAAAAACAAAAAACCAAGAAACAAAAAAACAAAAAACCAAAAAAACAAAAAAAACCAAGATTGCACACCCCAAGGGGAGGGGGTCAGATGCAGAGTGTTGGGTCTTGTCTTTTTGTTTTTTTTTGTTTTTTTGGTTTTTTGGTTTTTTGGTTTGTGTGTGGATAGCCATTGCAGATGTGCCAAGCAGAGATTGCCAGGCACTGTCAGTGGTTGCACTAGAGGTCGGGCAGGCAAAAACCAAAAAAACAAAAAAACAAGAAACCAAAAAACCAAAAAAACAAAAAAAACAAAAAAAACAAGATTGCACACCCCAAGGGGAGGGGGTCAGATGCAGAGTGTTGGGTCTTGTCTTTCTGTTTTTTTGTTTTTTTGTTGTTTTTTTGTTTTTTTGTTTTTTTGGTTTTTTGGTTTGTGTGTGGATAGCCATTGCAGATGTGCCAAGCAGAGATTGCCAGGCACTACAGTACAGCAATGTTTGCTATGACATAGTGCATTCAGCCAATGAACAGCAGAGAGGAATGGAATTCAATTTTGTCCGGTTGCGCCATATGCTGTTGGATCTTTGCACAGGAAATGCTGCAATTTGCGCACTCCCACAGTGGCCTGTTCTGTTCCCCATCTGCTCCATGGTGCTGGCATATTTACCTACATTTGCCCTAATAATCACCCAGATGTAGGTAAATATACCATACATGGAGCATATGGACACAGGTAATTTGGTTCAATCTACAATGAACTGAACTGAAGTTGTAAACCAGATTGTAACTGACGGACCACACCTTGTCCATAATTCACAACAGCCCCATTATGACGTCAATGCGAATGATGGCTTGGATTACGGGAATCATGAACCAAAATGACTTGATTTCTGGCGTTTGCGACACTTGGAATCTAGCGAAAGAGATTGGTTTTGTTGAAAATAATTGGCTACTCCGCAAATCCAGTGGTTATCTATTTGATCTCATCTTGGGGTATGTCCTAAGACTTCTAAGAAAAATGGTGTGTCCATGTGTGTCCCAAATCCCCAAAAGGTGTCATGATTTATTGCGCATCGTTTAATGGCAATCTTGGGGCATACCCTGACTTTGGTGAAACTCGGATGCCCTTCTCAACCAACTTTCAAGCAATCAGTGGGAACCGTCTTAGCAATTAAAGCCAATTAAAGACTAGATACATATTTGATAAGCTATCACATATATATATATATACAGTATGTAATATAATATCTATATACTATTTAATATATATGAAATAGATTACATATACATATATATATATATATATTATACAGACATATCATTATATAGATCGTGATACATATATATATATATATACACCATAGATGTAATATATATAATATTGTATTAGTTTCTTTCCAAATGGAAGAACATGTCGCATTGACAAAACGAAGCCTTTCGCTTTTTGCCTGAGGCAGCTGCTGCCCGCTACACACAGGGGGTCCAGTTATCCCAGTTGCGCTGGGGTGAAACGCTGTGGAATTAATGATGATTACTGGTATTTGATGGTAATTGATTGGTGCCTTTACAGGATTTCATGGGATTTACATACTGAAAAATCATTGGGTTGAAGAGTGATTTTATGGGATTTTAATGATTCTTGAGGGCCTACTTAAGGTGCAGTTCCACCAATATCCAGCTTATGGAGATTCAAATCCCATAGGTCTCTACCCATAGACGTTTTGTCCCAACTGCACCCCGAGGAGTAGAACAATGTAGAACAACACTGAACAAAAATAGAAGAGTAAACCCCTACCAAAATTTCCTGGCATATTGCTACTCTGTATCTTTTTCAGGGTGACTATATGCATACTTGTATGCAAAGATTCATAGTGTGTCTCAGTTGCTCAGGATGTTGGTAGATGTTGACAGATCTTGCAACTATATAGTCCCTTCTGGGAGCAGTTGATATTAGAAGCATACTACCAAACAGATAGGAGGTTTGGCAATCGGTCTGTTTACCTCTTAAGCTGTACCCAGTTTCCCTTCGTTTGGAAGCAGCTCTAACAGTTGAATGCATTTGGAGGAGAAACTTCAGAATGAGGGGAATGATCATCTGAGTAGACCCCCGGAAGTTGCTCCCCTGCATTGCTGGCGGTTTGGAACACATGAGTAACTGACGATA